GCATATTTTACGATTTCAGGGATCTCATATATTGACATTGTCTTGCCAGGGTTGCTGCGTAGCCAGTTGTCTTGAGCCTTTGCACAATAATTTTTAAACGGTGCATTCACTCCAACGTCCAATGGTTGCAGACGGTGTGTACAATGAGGCGGGAATGACAGCATTACAATGGAGTTAGATTTCGCTTTTTCTACCACATTGATATCGACGTGAGATTGGTGATTATCAAGCAATAACAAAACTGGATCTGAAGGTGATGGTCTGGTGTGTTTGATGAAGTGATCCATATATATAAGGAACTCCGTAGCTGTCATCCATCCAGAGCTATTTCCTGCACCAACGGATTCCGGTGGTCCGCCTTTGATAAATAAATCCTTGTATTTAAGTCGAGGGAAAATAAACATTGGAGGAACTGTGTGTCCTAATGCATTTGCTGCCAGTTCTACGGTGAATAATGTACCTCGTTCTGCAGATACTATAGCTCCAACTTGCTTAGTTTGCTTTTTGGCAATAATTTTCATTGGCTTTAGTACTGAATACGTAGCCAAAGAAGTAGCCAAAGCGCCAAATAATATTTTTCTATGTCAAACAAAAAAACGTAGCCACATTTGGCGCAAATGTAGCCAAATCTTGCAACATTGGAAAAAATACTAAATAAAGCTGAAGTTGTGAATCAAAGGATTATATATCCAAATGCGGGGAAAGGAGAGAAACGACAAAAGATAAAGAAGTGAGGACGGTTGGAAAATTAAGGGTAAATACAGTATTTGCATAACAGAAGATCTATTTAACCTTTCTTACTACTTTTTATCTTTTGTCCATTCTCACCTTTCCTCCTTTTCCCAAATTTGGGTCTATAATCCTTTGAGTCAACTCCAGCTTTATTTAGTAATCCTTCTTCATTCACACATCTCCAAGTATTTGAAAATATTTCTTTTGCACTCAAAAATAAAATATGAATAAAGATTTACGACTTTGTGAAACTTCTTTTTTGTGTTTATGCCGATGAAATAAATAAATAATAAAAAAATTAAAGCATTTGTCGGTTTTGTTTACACGTTTATTGGGCCGCATTGGAACTTGCCTTGGGCCGCGGGTTGGACACCCCTGCTCTATACCTACTGAGTGTTTTAGAAGCTGATTGTTGTATAACCTGTTGGTGGTTCGGGTGTGTTGTTCTTTCTTGTACAATTTTTATATACCTATGACACTGAGAAGGGATTGGGATATATTGCACCAACCTGAAATGCATATGTAATAGGTCTATAATTTGAGAATAAAATCATAGTTCCTAATCAAAAATTTGCTGTCAGACCGTCTACCATAATTTTGCACTACAGAGACGTTTTAAATAGATATGTAAAGTGTTATTTTTAACGGGTGTCCAACCCGCGGCCCGCGGGTTGGACACCCGTTACCCTGATCTAAATTAAATATTCTCGAAAGCGGAAGTTTATATTTATACAACACTGTGCCTAGCTTTGTAAAAAATTCGTTAATATTGTGTTTCTTAAAAGATATTTCTGCTGTCAATTGTCGGTTCCGAGCCTCTAATCAAGAGTTCAGAATTTCTCTTTAAAATACCAGTAAACCATTCTGGACCAGCTTTTCCATTCTCATGCCAAGATGGTGGAATATCAGAGGCGTTGAATTTCTGTGCACATTCATATGCTAATTTTCGCACTTCCTCTGGTAGAAGACCAAAGAAAATTAATTTTCAATTTAATGATATTTTAAAAACTTCACAATTGTTAACACGAAGAAATTTTAAATGTACAAACGATATTTGGCACTACTTAAGACCAGTGTTGAAAAATCTGAAAAATAAATGGGATGTAGTTATTAATACTTCCATTACTGATTCAAAAGTAAGTGATGTCACCCTCAGAGTATTTTTGATTAGTTAACACGAATGGCATATTTTCTCTTTAACACAAAACGAGTCCTACGATACAGCTAAAACATAAATCAGAACCTTTCAG